TTTGTTTGTATTCAGCGACAACTTGACTGAGGTTTGGTTGGTGGATTGGAAGCTTCCCCGACTTTGGATTCAGAATGTCAAAAAAACAATTCATGGCGGGATACACAGAAGCCATACATGAAACTAGGGCTTGCCTGCGGCCTACCACTGGGCCGCTTTGGGCCGAAGAAAAGGCGGGTCTCCAGCTGTACCACTGGGCCTTCTTTGGGGGCCCAGCCCCAAGTTTATTATTATTATTAAGGGGACCCGACTCAAAATGGTTGGTCGCTTTTTGGTTTCCCAAAACGGGTGTCAACTCCAGAAAAGACACGACCAAAAGGTGAAAAGATCAAACACAGGCTTTGGCACACCCGGGCCTCGTGCTTGGCAGAGGCATTGCACCTACAACTGCAGCGGCTCCATCACCTTGGGCCTGGGCGGAATGGGCAGGCGGCTTTTTGCGGCGACGGACGGAAGACGGCCACGGGCTTGGATAGTTTTTTTTGGAAGGCAACACTTTTGTCTTCGAAAATGGTTGGTTGACATAAGTCGCAATGTAGATGTAATACCAAAGGCCCCCCAACGGAAATTCGTGGCCACGTAAACAAGCTCCCCTGGTTTTTTCTTTGTAAAGGGGGCCACGATCAAAGGGGCTTGAACAACAGTGCCGCCCTTAAGGGCCTTTCGCGCTTGGAACCCGGCCAGGTTGCTCACCCATATGTTCCACTCGACGCTGTGCCTCCAGCTTCGCCATACTTGTCCAAAGCTCCAAAATTGCAACTGCTTTGCCTCAGTGGCTGGGTGAAACATCGCAAGATGGTCTGATTTGCATGGGGCACACCTCTCACCGTCTGGAGACTCATGGACGTTGACTGGCCGTTAGATGGGCCACCCTCCTCTTGAGACCAACCCAGCAGCTTCTCTCGCCCGAGCTGAGCCGTTGAACTTGGAGCTGTCACTTGCGGTTTCAATGCGAGCTGAGTTTGAAGAGTTGGAGTCTTTCAAAAGTTGGTGGACATGAGGACATGAACATCTCGCTTGTTTGTCCAAAGACATGAATCCGTTACATGATGTCCACCACAGGAGCCCGAATCAGAACACTGATGTTTATTTTGTCCACAAATGGAGCCCGGTGGTTTGCATTCGGATTTGAACCCCTGGTTCTTCAGGGCAAATGGTCGGTGGGGAAGCTGCTGAAGAATCACTCAAGTTATCTCCCAATTGCAGGTTCCGATTGGTTTGTGGAGTGGGAAGCCACCCGAAAAAAAAACTTCCGCCACAAAGCAACGCCGGGATCCAAATCACCGGTTGGGTTGTTTGAAATGAGTTGCCCTGGTGTCTGGATAGAGCCTGGGCTTGCTTTTGCAGGTTACTACACAACATGGGTTGACAAATGAAAACAAAAAAGCTCCGGCCCCCGTTTTCCTAGTGTGTTCTTGTTTTGTTTGTGTCATTTTCTTTGCCCCCATCTGCCAAAACCCCTGTGTTTTTTCTTTTTTCTTTTTTTTTCGTACGTTTTTTATTTGTTCAACCCATTTGCCGCACCTCCCGATGTGTCCCATCTCTTGCCGGTTTGGCCAACCTCGGAGGCTGCGCAGCGCGGCGGAGGCCTGCTGCGCCTTCGGGGACTGCGAGGCCTTGAGGAAGGCGCGGCCACCGACGGGTGGTTCCCAGCCGTCGGAGATCGGTGACTTAACTTTTCTTTTTTTTTACAAACAACAACAAACAAACAAACCAACAAACAAACAAACAAACAAACAAGCACAAATGCCACAAAATGGTTTTTTGTTGTTTGTTGGTCTTAAGTTGGTTTATGTGCCATTTCTCCAGGTTGTTTCCCCCCCCCCCCCGGTTTAGTGCTAGGATTTTAGTTGGTTTGGTGATAGTTTAAAAGTTAAGAACTTTCAGCGGAAGAGTTGTTGTGTCTTCAAAGAGTGCGAAGGCTCCTGCAATGTTAGAGGGCAACAAGAACACCGAAGCCATTTTGCGGGGGCCGATTCCTAATAAACGACACACGATGTGTTTACCTTTCCCTTTGACGAAGGGATCCACCGAGGCGACCTCAAAAAGGCGTCCCTTTTGCTCAAATGGCGTTGAGCCACTAGCGTTTGGCGGTTTTGAGAGCAAGGTGCAAAATCTCAGCCCAAAGACGACGGAACACTGACCTTTTGGTGTTCCCCTTTTTGGCGCGGGTTGAGTAAAAAATCCAAAAGGTGAACTTGCATTCCTAGGTCCTTTGGGCAACTGAGAAGTTGGTTTTTGACCGCCAGTTGCCAAGGGAAACAACATCGCTTACAAAAGCCGTCATTCGAAGCGCTGCAACCCCATTGACCCAACATGTTGTCTTTACGGCCAGCAATTGCCCGTGGGTTTCACCGTTGCGGCTGCTCAGACTGCAAGCCAGAATGCTGCAGCATCTTCCTTTAGTGAAGCTTTGCCTTGCACACAAAAAAATGTTACGGATCGCTTGGATACCATGTCCTTGCAGCGAGGCTGCTGTGCTACAACAGTGGTTTGCCAGCATTTGTAAGGCGGATGCTTACTTGTTCGGTCTATGCGACCTCAAAGTTCCTGATTTGTGGAGTTGTTAGTATTGGAAATTCTTGGAGGCCAAGATGCATCAACCGGGGCAAGCTGGCAGGATGCATTCATGTAAATACAGGACTATCCCAGCGTGTCCTCATGTTCAGCATCGACCTAAAAGTTGTTCTCATTGGCTTCTGTACATCTAAGCATATGGCTACTGAACTCGGCTTTGAGACAGTAATTCGATGCTCAAGGTCAAAAGAAATGTGTGTCTGTTGCGCGTGTGGTTTTCCATGCACTCGACCTTCATGCAAGCTACGTTTCACGGCAACATATTGGCTCAAGGCCCTTCTTATAGTACACAGTGCTAGAGAGAAAATAGGCCTTGCCGCGTATTGCTCTCCATATACATACAGGCAATCACGGACCAGGAGCTTCCAATTCTACTCCACACCTTCAGGCATCAGGTTCTCATCTTGAACAGACCCAGCTCCACTAAGCCGGCCCCCCGCAAGGCTGATCCTCCCCCCCCAACCTTCCCCCCCCCCCAGGGCGCCCCCAAGGAACATGTTGGGTCAACCGGCCAGCACTGCCCGGAGTTGGGTTTACGTCACTGGGTTGGAGAAGATGTTGAACCAACATGTGGTATGGGTGTTGTTGTTTACACACTTAAATAAGAATAACAATTATATGAGGGCCGTCCTAAAACCCCAGTCTTCGGTTTTAATTATCGCCGAACGGGGAGAAGTAAAAGTTGTCAAAAGCTGTGCGCGCGCAAGGAGCGCGCAAGTGCGGCCCAAGGGACGCGCAAGGTTACAGTTTTGAAGGGTTTCATGTACTGATGTTGCCTAGCTTCATGAAAGGAGGTGATATCTTGTTGCTGTATTTATGCTTTTCGAATGTTGCTTGGGTCATGTGTAGGTCACAAGCTTGTTTGCAAAAGGTGCGGCGTTTTCTTCAGTCACACTCCAAACGAAGCCAAAGCTTCTGCGGTCATGACTTCAACAATCAGCAACTGGCAGCTGACACGACAAAATCCGCGCAAGCCGCGCGCAAGTTGCGCGCAAGCACGAGAAGCCCCAGCAAGACATCTAGCCATGCTGTCTCGGATGTCCTTAGCGGCGCGGTTCAAGCAATGGATAGGCAGCCGCAACATGCACTTTCCTTCTTTCAGGCTGTTTCCAAGCTGTGTGGCAGAGCCTGCTGTCCTTTCTGTTGGGTCAAGGGTATGTTGCTGGCCTAGAATTACCGAGACCCACCTCAGCGGGAAGAGTCTTTGTGGGTTGCTGTGTGAACGACGAACACACTGCTTAGAAAAGCTTGCGCGCAATCCACACGAAAACTTCGCAAACCGAGGTCAACGAAAACGAGTTTCTGCGCCGCTGTGCGCGCGCAAGTCCGCGCAAGTGCCGCGCAAGTGCGGCCCAAGGGCCCAATCCCGGGCAAAGGAATATAGGACAACCCCCATATATTGAAACAATAACAAAAGTAATCATCATAACAATTATAATAGCAAAACAATTTTTGAGCCCTATTTGCTCTTGATAGCCAGAGGGTTGCTTGTCGTAAAGGAAAACAGAAGCAGCTGCCAAAGGTTTTTGTTGAACGCCGCAACCCCAGTGTGTATCCTGGTGTGTTTGGCTCTGACCGTTGCCAATTAGCTAAAGTGCTTTGGCTTAGAAGACAACCCACTGTTTGTCCTCATGCAAACCAATCAATTAGCTGCCTTGGCTGCTTACTCCGAATGTGTGCAAGCCATCAGTGTTACTCCAAATATCCGATTGGCAGAGAGTGGTAAGGGGGAGCGAAAGAAAACCGGACACACGTTCTAATCTCATCCTCCCGGGATTGGTCTCTGTAATAGGGAACATACATTTTGATAATAGTAAACATAAAGTATAATACTATTATACCAATATTTTCCCAGCCAAACCGCAGACCCCAAGCGGTGGTTATTCAGCAGGCCGACACTAAAGACATATTACACCAGCACTTGGCCAATATCAACGAGCTAAGCCACAAACACCAAAGGCTTAAAGGAAGCAGCGGCACGGCATGGCATGGCCACTTGCATTTATGTGCAGTCGTTAGTGTGTGTGCGTGTGTGACGTTCCCTTCCTGCCATTCGAAAAAAGGCCTTGCTCCGTTCCTCGCAGGTGGCTACTAGCGAGTTTACAGTCAAAGCGCATCCGGAGCTACAATTCATTGGCCTGGAGGCCCTTCCTCCAGCTTCACGCCACCAGCCTTGACACAGCCTTCAAAGACACCGCTTTGAACCATCGCTCGCGGGTTGGGTCTGGTACAGCTCCAGGAAGCGGCCCTCAATACCCAAGTACTTCGGCAGGTCGCCGCCCTCCAACGAGAACGGGTTCCAATCTGGCAGTCCGGATCCTTGCCGCGCTGTCTCAATGTCCCAGTATTGGCCTGTGAAAAAGCTGGCATTGAGAGTCTACCTTCAAGCAATGGCAAACGGGGCGTCCGCACCCAACCATGGTGTGACTTTGGTCCACTGTTCATGTGTCCGTCACGAAATCCCCCTGTGCCATCGAAGACCAGGTTTGCCGCAAAAACAATGGACGAACCCCACATGTTTATGCGACGCGAGGCTGCAAAGCTCTTGAAAGTGCGGCACAGCCTCCCCAAAACCTCCCCCCCTTGAAGCACCAGGTGGCTTTTTTCCCCGGACCTTCGGGCCGACAGCTTCCTTTTCAGGTTCCTCTGGACGTGCTCTCCGCCGAAGCCGCCCAGCTGGGGGCCCCGGGGCTCGCAATCCCGCCATCTCGCAGGTCGCTGGGGGCTGGGATGTTGGGACGGAGCGAGTTTTTTCATGTTGACCCCGTATTCATCCACCAGTTTATTAAGATATGGGGGTGGGGGGGCAAAATCCAAAAGTGGTGTGATCCCCACTAAACCCAAAAGCACCCCCTATTAACAAGCAGGGGTTGGTTAATCCGGGGTCAACATGAATTAGCTTGGCTGGGCTTCGGCGTGACCAACTTGGCCCTTAGACCTTTTGGTTCACCTCGGAGATGCGTACATTCGGAGATGCATAGAGATCGCAAGGACCTTGGGCCTCTTGGACGCGGATTCCGGATGGCTTTTCTATCACGCGTACAAAAGATTAGGCCTTTTCAGGGGGGAAGAGCTACCCAGTAGAGTGGTTGTGTTTTGACAAGTCTCATGTTGGCTTTTCTCAGACCACGGCGGTTTTGGAAAGGATCACAAGGCGAGTACAACCTCAAAGCCGATGCCGCTGAAACTACATCTCTCGTAAAGATTGCCAAGTACGATTCCACTTTGCCAAATTGGATGCAGCAGCAATTTGACAACACTGCAGTGGCGTTGACGGCAGGCTTCTCTGGGTGATTTCTGTCTAAGCCACCATTGTAGAGATTTTGCTTGGGCATTTCGAAGCTTCGTGAACCCAACAGTGCTCCCCTGCAAGACTTTGCAAGCTCACGTGGCGTATCCAGAGGTCAATCTGGTGTGCCTCTCCGACTGGGAGGTCTAGGAAGCCAAAGCTCAGCACCCCAGTTCCATCTTACCCCGCTTAAACCCAAAAGGAACAATACTACTAGTAAAAAGAAAGGGAACCCAAAGAACCAAAAACCGAGAGAACCAAAACCCCCTTCCCATGATTTTTGTTGCAGAACACCCCAACTCATCCCGCGAATTCCAAGGCTTTGCTGCACTGCGGCGGAGCAGGATCAGCAGTGTTTCGGCTCGTCAGGGTGCCAGGCATGTGCGTTAGTAAGACATCCCCAACATGTCGCCATTGTGGGTCTCCTTTGCATCCCTTGGCCAGCCAGTGTGGAAAACATCCCCGAATGTCAGGCTTCCATCTATTTCTGCTCGTTGCAAATGGGCGTGTCTCATCATTTGATTGTACCCTCTTTGGGGTTGGTTGTGGACCTTGCAGAAACCATGTCAGGGGTCCTCGAAGAAGCAGTTCCGCGCAAATGAAGGGGGCCAGGCGCGGCATGCGAGTCAACCGGCCCGCTTTCAGGGGCCCGAACTCGCCAAGGGGGGTTCGGTTTGGTTGTGTGGCATCCGCATTTCTTGAAGGCGTCCTTCAGTCCAGGAATCCGTTTTGATTGGATTGTGCGTTTGAATAGCCAGCCTACCCAACCCCTTCTAGCGCGACTGCTCTCGCACGTTGGCTGAAAGACAGCGAATGACAGCGTTGGAAGTTGTTAAGTGAGCACAAGCCCACGACAGTTGAGGACCAGCTGCCGGCGCTGAAATGCCTCCATGAGCTCTTGGGGGCGCCCTGTAATGAGAACTGGGCCGCGGAGGAAGGAAGGCGTCAAAAGTTGTGGCGGGTTGTTGTTCTCTTCAAAAAGGGGGGGCGCGTAGCGGCGAACCAAAGTGCACCAAGCCTTTTTTCAGGCCCCTTGAAGTTGCTGGTTGAGTCTTTGTGCAATCAGGGTCAACAAATAACGTCGGAAACCGGCGAGGACGGATTTCCGAGGACGGGTTTCCGTTGCCAAGGGTTTGTTTGAGGCGGAGGCTGCACCGCCCAATGCAACCAGAGACACCCCCTCTATTTTTGGAACCCACCACAATGGAACCAAACCCCCAACAGAAACTCCTCCCGCATATTCGCATTAATTCTAGAAAAAACACCCATTTGCAGAGGAATCTGTTCTCATATTTTTAGTGCCCTTAAACCAAGGGCACTTGATTTGCTTTCGAATCAAGACCACATAAGGCAGTGTCGGTGCCTTAAGTGACCCTTTGATTCGGTTGAGTGTCAAAGCATGTCATTTGAGTGTCAGTGGGGGTGCGAATTGAGGTCACCTACCCCTTGAAAATTTTGTCGGTGACCTGCACGTGAGTGTCATTCGCATTCACGTGTCGCTGCGGCTCGATTTGCCTGGACTGGGGAGGGATTTGAGGGTCTAAGTGCCCTTTAAATGGCTTAAGTGACCAATTTGATTTAGAATGGGCAAACAAAAATATGTCTCGAGGTCACTGAAAAGAAGCTGGCTGGCTGGGTGAGTTCCATTGGGTTCCAGGGATTAGATTTGTCGGGGGTATTCTTTTTTTTGCTTCCGCGGGCTCCTAGAAAGCGGTCCCCGGTCTCAGGCCGCGGGCCTCCAGAAGGCTTACAGCCGGACCGCCACGCCCTTGCACGTGGCAGCGGGGGCTGGTGCCATGGAGGCGCCACTCGGGCGTGCGGACGTGCTGTGGATGGACGAAATTCATGCAACGCACCACCTCGGAATCCCTGGAAGGATGATTCCCCCTGTAAATACCAACAAACACTGGGTTCTCATGATTTCAAACTGGTGCAGGATTTTGTTTGGGAACGGAGCAATGGGCGTCAGCCTCTGAGGCTTCACCAAGTTCGCGTTACCCAACGCAACCGTCGACCAATTGGCTGTGGTTGTCAAAACCAATGGGATCCCATTTTGGGGTAGGCACCCATTTTAGAACTTATTTTAGTGGAGATTGGGATGTTCACTGGGGGTACGATTTGGATTTTCACCCATGGCCAACTCATGATCTCAAAGGAGCGGTTGAACTTGTTTCAGGCATCTTCACATACGCTCTGCAGGGTTCCAGGCGTTGAGACCTCTGGGTGCAAAAGGCCCTTCTCGTGCACATCTCTATCAGCAGAATTTTTATACAGGCGAAGCGGGGAAGCAAGACATATATGCATTGCACGTGTTCCATCGCCAACCAAAACACATCCGAACCATAGAATCTCCTGGGTGGCTGAACATTAGAGGCTACGTCGCCTTTTGGGGCCTCAACAGGATATGGGCCAGCTGGAACAGGTCAAATTGTTGGCTGACCAGCAAGGTTGGCTTATTGACCCGGATCAAGATTGATATGTCTCAGCCTGTGCTTTTGGCAGTAGCTCAATGAAGAGCCAGTCCAAGCACCCACCGCGGGTGAAGTTTAATTCATGGCGTTGCACTAAATCTGTTTCTATTTTGTAAAGACCCTCCTTGAGGCCCCCTTCTTCTTAAATGCAGTTCTTCAAAGTACGTAACATGTATGTAACAAGTCACCAAGTCCAAGTCCTTCCCTGATTAACATGGAACGCCCAAAACTCTCAATTGTGCAGAGGAATCTCCTGTTGGGGTTCGGCCGCTTTTCGGATTCCATGTGCCTCTCTTCTAGGATTTGATTTGGACCCCCCCTAAATGGGAGTGTTCCTTTGGGTGTCCTTAAACAAAACCACTCAAAAACAGGTCCCCCCCCCCCCCCCCACCCCCAAAAGAAAAAGACGGCCCACCGCCTGAACTCCGTTGGCCCCAATCCGAGGGAATGGCCCTGAGGCGTTGCGGAAAGGTTTCGCGTGGAAGGCTTACCTCTTAAAGAACACGAGACTTTTCGTAACTTTTTGGGTAACATGGGCTATATGTCTGTAAAAGATTAACCTCCCCAGGGCGCAGGGAGTTTTGAGGGGTAAGAAGACAAACGCAGTTGATACTGTGGATGGAGGTCCTGACCTGGCTGCTGGAGGCGCGGTGCTCTCCGCGCCTCTCCCGACAAGCGGCATGGAGTGGTCAAAAGGCACCCGGTTCTCTATGCCCTTTCAGCGTGTTTGGCAGGTCCATGTGAATCTCCAGGATAAGAGCAACGTTGCCGTTGGCAAGGGATTGTTGCTGTTGTCAAGTTTGGCATTGTGTCTCCATCGCCTTGAAGTTTGTATGTCGTCAACGCTGCCGAGGGCTTCATGTCAATCACTTTGGGTCTATCCCGGTTGACGGTTCCCATGGATATTTATTTGGGCTCCCTTCGGCTCCCTTCGGCTCAAGGCTTAGATTTTCGACCTACCATCCGCCTGGAGACGCCTGGACCTCTTCAGTTTGGGTGTTTTTGAGGCTTGCCCAAACTACTTTTTGACCTTTTGGTTCGCTTTTTTTCAGTCCACGTTCAGCAAACATCCCAAAAGGCTAACCTTTTACTTCTAGGTCATTCGGGCAACTCCATTCCAAAGTGGCTAATTGGGCTGTATGCGGGATGTGGTTGATAGGGGTACAAGATCAGCACTTGAGACGATCACCCCCAAATTCCTTGGTAGAACTGTCAGGATCACTGGGCAACTGGGTATTTGCTTGCGAGCGCGGTTTTCGGGTAGTTGTGCTAGGCAACTGCATCATGGAATGCTATCACTATGCGTTTGGTCTCAGCTGGAGGCGTGAAAGTGCTGTTTGCTTTCAGGCCTTTGATCAGACCCTTAGCGATGCAACGAACGTCGTCGGGTGTAATCAATTAAGTTCGGATCACTTGAGATCCGAACCAGTTGCAAAACTCTTGCATTGCGATGGGGCACAGAGCCCACCGTGCGTTTGTGGTTTTGCAATGTTGCTTTGTTCAGAATGGCTTGTGTTTTCATCGTGGACAGATTGACAGCATAGCATGAATGTGCAAGCCGCCCCCCCCCCCCCCCCACGAACGCCTTCTTTGCGTCGGCTTCATGTTGTTTGGATCAAGCATTTGACAGCTTGGGACAATGGTATCGCCTTGCTTTGAGGTGAGTAAGTTGCTGAATCCCAGATCCTTGTAAGGATGTAATTGAGCCAGTGTCAAGCCCCCTGCAACGCATCCCATTGGCATTTCAATGAAGCCGGTGCGGGATGAAACAACACCCATCCACGCCGACTGGGAAGCTCGAAATCGATCTCGCGAGCCAGACGCGCGCCTTCGATACGGATGTGCGGGATGAGCATGGGGCTGGGGCCCGAAGGGCCCGAAGTGCCGAAGGGAGCTCGAGGGACACGGATGGTCAGTGGGCAGTTTGTCAGTTGGGTGAAAGTGAGTGGCACAAGGGCGTATCTTTTTTGAGGGTATACCTATATTTGTGGTTTTAAAAGAGACACCAAACAGAAAACCGCCTTTTTTGGGGTGCTCCCTAGAAATAGACACACCCAACCCCTTCTAGGCTTTGTCATCCTTTTTAGGGAAAAAGGGAGTGGTGCCATCTACGTTTTGTAGGAAACAGAGCTGGACTGGTGGGCAATTCGGATTGGGGTTGCCACTTTGTACAATCCAAGGGCGTGCGTTTGAGTGAGCACGTTGCCGTTTGCTGGATGGAAATCACCCAGTTTGGTATCAGAGAAACGGGCAAGCATCTTCCAAAAGGAAGTGAGTTGCAGTGCTCAAGGCAATGTCACAACGGAAACTGCCCATGCCTGAACGAATGCGATGTCCACTTGTGCCACCCCCGGATCAATCGTGATCCGTTTCTTTTAGTTGTAGAAATGATCCAACTTGCAGGATTCTTCGAGCCTCAAGCAGATGCTGACCCCCAAGAGTAAAACAAAACAGACAAACTGGTGTCGTTCCTTTGTTTTTCCTTTTCAGGAACCAATTTTCTGCCGCCAGTGCGATTCAGGCGACGCCCGGGCACTGGGCGGCCCGCAGCGGCAAGGTGGAGGTGCTGTCGCACCTTTGGCAGGCGCTTTGGGCGCGCTCGGGCTTTGGCTTCGGAGTTCCGGTTTTCCATATTTCCTTGGCTCCCAGCCGTGCGGTTCCTTTTTTTTTGGTTTTTAGTTGGTTGAGTGGTTGGGTGTCCATGTATCCCACTAAAAGTTTAGAACTTTTGGCAGGCAATCTGAGGGGTCCGTTGGCCATCGGTCAACCTATCGATAGCAGTCTTTTGATTGAGGGACATGCTCACCAGACTTTGGGCACGTCCAATCTCACTTTGGGCAAAAGTTGAGGTCTGTTTGTGCCCGCCACCCCAAAGCCCCACCAGCCCAGCACCACCAAACCCCCCCAACCCCCAAAGCCCACCTGAAATCAGTTCATGGTTTGTTGTTGGGAAACATGTCGCATTCTTGCTTATTGTGGTCTAGTGGTTGAAATCCAAGCACTGAACTGCTATTTGTTTTTGAACTGTTGCTCCCCTTCCAACGTTAACCAAGTGATAACCTCATGCGGATGGCCTTTTGTGGTCCTGCATAAGCCACTAAAAGTTAAACCTTCAGCAGGGGAGCAGAAAGCAACCAAGAAACCCCCCCAACCCCCAAAGCCCACCCATCAGTTGGCCCATTCCAACCACGCCCAAAAGCCAGCCCACCCAACAAAACACCCCCAACCCCAAAGCCCGCCCGTGAAACCCGCGGCCAATTCCACCTCCAGGCCGGGGCGGACCTGCAGGCCAGGGAGCAGCACAGCGGCTGCAGCCCTCTGCACCTCATGGCGGCGGAGGCGTGCTGACCGGGTTCCAGGTCGGAGCAAAACAGCTAAACCCTGCGATTTTTGTTTTGGGGCATTGTATTTTTGTTAGAAATGTGTTGTTTTTCCTATATACATATATGTGTTCCTTGTTTTCCTTTGTATGTTTTTTTCGAACGCCGTTGGAACAATTTGAAAAAGTGTGGTTTAAGTTGTTGATCCAGAATTTTTGAAGTCTCGTCAAGGGGTCACTTGTGATCACATGGCTGGTGGGGTAAACCCGGGTTGCTGACTCTCATGGATCAACAGTAAAATCGGAGCTTTCTAAGCACCCTTCTGTTCCGAACATTGCGGGTGCGTGCTAGTGCTTGATGATGCCCCCAAGCGCTGGATGTGGGCGTGATCAACAGGGCCTACCGATACTACTTTTTGAAGGAAGACGGGCATAGTTGATTACGGGCGTCTCTTTGCCGATCTTGCAGAGTATTTGATGATGCCGTTTGAACCCATGCCGTTTGGTCCGGTCAAAATCTCCAATAGTCAATGGTCAATTTGGGAGATTTGGATGCGGGGGGCTCACAAAACGTGACACAAAACCTGGGGACTCTCTAGTTGACCAATGTCCTTGAAGCCCATGTGGCCATGGGTCAAAATCACGTACCCCCAGTGAACATCCCAATCCCCACTAAAATAGGTTCTAAAATGGGTGGTGCACCTACCCCAACATGGCATCCCAAAACGGTTTTGACCCACGGCCATGTGACCACTTGCGCCCGCAGGGCCACGAGGCTGCTGCGCTGTGGCTGCTGGACCACGGCGGAAAGCAGCCCCTGGACACGCAGGGGCGCCTGCCGGAGGCAGTGTCATACGAGCCAGGGCGGCTTGTGGGGGTCTCCAAAAAGGGAATGCCCCGGTGTTTGCATTTGTCAAGATGGGGATGCCGTTTTGTTTTGTGCACTGATGGGTGCAAATCATTCGATTAGCTGTTGGAAAATGAAGTGGAAGTTCTTGGGCTGGCGCATGCTGGTTGGCGCCGCAAAAATGGCTGAGGGATATTTTGGGGCGTCTGTACAAGGGGATGGCCTCACCCCGCGAGGCTTCCGATACATAGGTGCCTACGAGCAGGGGATGGCAACTGCCAAGTCTCTGTCTTGCTGGGAGGCGCTTGATTGATGCAACCGGCAGATCAAGATTTGACGGGTTTGTGCCACGGAGAGTGACAAACACTAGTACCTTGATCTTTACCTGCAGCCACATTCCTCCTCTTTTGTTTTCGGCGGAAGAGAGTTCCTCGCCTACGCTCGGCTCACTCTGCAGTCTTAGGCCATTAGCTGAATCCATTCTGAGTCATGCGGGATGAGAGGCAAGCACTTCCCGTCAGCTTTCATTTCACATGACGAGCATCAAGAGAGATGACGAGGCTCAGCTGGCCCCTCCCAAACAGCTTTCAGAGATTTGCTAAAGGTGCTACCCTCAGCTTGATCAGGGAGAAGAGGGCCTGCTCTCATTCTGCCGGCACACAATTCCTGGTTCTGGACACAGACCAGTAAGATACTTCATCGGCGTTTGTGGTTGACAATGGTGCGGTATCTGGTTTGTATGTTCATCCCACAGTATTCATTTGCTCACTTGGTGCCGGACAGAGTTGGACAAATGTATGTGCATAGTGATTGATATATAGAATACATATGTAACGTTATATGAAATTCCGTAGCAAATGCATATCTATGGACTGGACTAGGCAAGAGCTTTCCAAAGGCAGGGCTGCCTTTTTTTGGCCATGGCCTCTCACGCCGCATGGGTGGATTTTCGCAGTCCCGAGGATGAGGAGGCTGGGTTCTGGTTCCCTCCGCTTGGAATTTGAACTCCGCGTTGCTTTGGTTCCACCGGAGATCAGGTCTACTTCTTGCTTTGGTCGAACATAGATGCTCTTTTAGCACCGGGAAAGCCAGGAATCGCCAACCAAAAAGGACACCTGTGAGTGAAAGTGGTTAGCACAATTAGTTCGCAATGCGGCCATTTTCATGGTAGTATGTTTGTTGTATGCAAGATGCATTCTTCACTTTGGCATGATTAGGCAGTCTAACGCAGTCTCGCGGCCATGTGGCACGTACGATAAAGGGGACGACTAAACCAAACAGAGGAATCTGCGCCATCGATTTCCACCCTGGTGCAAGTGGGATGCCTTTTGTTCCCCACTGGCTGATTTTTTTGGGCGACTCCCCAGACGGGCAGAGTGGTTCGGACCGGCTCTGGCTGGAGTTGCGGAAGGGTTTCGGGGGTTGTCGGGGATTATTTTTGTTTTACACGTTTGCGGTTCACTATGGACCAAAGTCCGAACATCGCAACATATCATGACTGAGGTCAAAAGCTTGTGAACAGGTCAGCCAGCAGGTTTCTTCCCGGCACTTGCTTTGCCAATTTCTTCTAGAACCGCTGCCCTCTCCTCGCAAAATGAACAGCTTCGGAAGCTGGCAACATCTGAAGTCTCAGGAGAAGATCACAGTTTGTCTCAAATAGGAATCTGAGCCAAAGAAATTGTTTGTGCAGCTTGAGTTTCCCTTCAAGGTACCCTCAAAACAAGATAGCCGGCAAGACTTTGCAAAGTACTGGCGACAAACGATAGCGACCGCACCAATGCCAACATGGGCGAGCTGCTTGGCAACTACCATTTGCTCCAGGGATGCGCTGAACAAATCCGTCATTTCTCGCAGCTCCTGTTTGAGTGGGAAGTAAGCCACCAAAGTGAGAAGTGGATTGTGTCTTCATGTAAGGGCTCCAGGGCTCGCGTTCCCTCTAGGCTTGGTTTGGGTGCTTTCAAACCAAATTCAGCAATGTTTATCATGAGAGAACCATGTATGCACTAATTCAGCCCCTTACATTGCCACATTCTATACCTGTATGTATAATACAGGCATTACGTCATATACCACTGAGGTGCCTTTTGGAGAGCCATTGCAGACGAACAGTCGCTTATTGAGTAGAGCCGATGACCGTAGGCCATTGACTTCCCGTAGCTTCCCTTGTGGCTCAGGACGGACTATGTTTTGCATTCCTGGTTTTTATTGGGTGAGGGGAAGTCCAACTGACCTGTGGTTTTCCTTTTGGTTGTTCCTTTTCAAAATCACCAAAACAGGTGTACCCATCGGAGATACCTTCAGGGGTCAAGCCGCTTTGGGTTTGAGCTTGAGCCCGCTATGTCCAGGTCCATTGGGGGCTTGCCTTTTTGAACATGGGACCCACTGGAGGGAGCTGGTCATGACTCGCCAAATTGCGGGTATGCTAATAGCTACATTATATATAATATATAGATGATATATATATATATATGTATCAGTATACGCATATAATGCAATATAAATGCGAATATCTGTATACATCTAGTATTTGACTGGTGCATTGCTTCGGTTTTCACAGTCCAAAGGAGTGTCCTTGCCAGGAGGGATGCTGGCAGCGCCGCTGGACGGTGCTCCACGAAGATTGCCTCAGCCTTTTCCAGGACGAGACCTGTGCGCCGGGACCCGAGATCTGTTGCCCAGTGGGCCCCTTTTTTTCATTTTTTTGGGGAAGGGTTCCCCTTCAAGCTCCGCCAAGAAAGGATGCCCTTTTCGTTTCATGGCCTCTGGGCAGACCATCCCTACTTAAATCATGGGGGCTGGAAGGAGGGGAGGGCTTCTTTAGGGCTTGTTCGGGCTCCCTCCTGTCCCCTCCCTCCCCCAGCCCCCGTGATTAAAGGGGGTCATTAAACTCTGTTGCCCAGTAGCCTCCTTGTTTCCTTTTTCGGAGGAAGGGTTCCGATTCCTTCAAACTCCGCCAACCCAAAAGACAGGCCTCCGGGAATTTGAGTAAGGCGATCGAGCACCTCACGTAAGTGGCTAGCAAGCATGGCTAAAACCCACCGAGGAGACTTTCACCATGGTAAAGCGCTAAGCTCTTTTAGTACCCGCCCCAAGTCGTGGCACATTCGCTTTTGAAGTTGGACCCCCCAAGAATGGCTGAACGGTTTTCCCGGTGGTTTCCCTTGAAAACAAATCAACCAGGGGGGACTAATATTACATGTGCGTTGGCAGCCGCGAATAAAGCATCCAACACGGGGTCCCAGCACTTGATTGTACTAAAAGGGTCCAAGTGCCTTTGAGGATGTACTTAAACCAAAATTGAGCCTCTGCAGTACATCAGAGAGCACTCGGAAATTAAGGATTTGTTTTTTGACTACCTATAGTAGAACATGTATCTCCAGGAGGTCTTGGTGTAGGGCCCGGTCTGCGCCCTTTGTCTCACGAGAATGTCGGGCACTCACCGGATATCGCCGCGCAGCTTGCGGCCCAAAGTTCCGATGGCTAGCAGCTGTGTGAATCCCAGGAGTCTTGCAGTCCTCACTCCCTGAGTTTCGTGAGAGCCTGGGTCAAGATCATGGACATCCCTCTGTCTTCTCCCTCCCCCCCAATGAACCACATAATGAACTACATTTTGTCTGATTCAACCAGGTCTGATGGATAATTTGCTCATCTGATATACACAAATATCTATATATACATATACATATATATATATATACATATGTATATGCGCATGCATATCTACACATAGGTACATACAATTCTTCAGGTCCGTTCCCGGGTAAATTTCCTTCCGCAGGCGGCCCCTGGGACGCCTGCGCCTGCCGGCGCGTTGCCGCGCCTTGGCCTTCGGGGACCCCCGGGCGCCCAAGCGCGCGGCGCGGCTCAAGGCCGCGCGGCCCCAAGGCGCGGGCCGGAGCTGGGCCGAGCGGGGCCGAGCGGGGCCGGACCGTACGGAGGAGTCCGTTGGCTCGGCTTCCATTGGCTGAATACTTGTTTTTTTTTTCAAATAACAATTTTCCCTGTTGGTTTTAAAGGGAATGGGTCACTGCTGGAAACATGATTTATTTATATATATACATATTTTATCCAGGGGTCTTAACCAAATGGAAGTCGTCGTGGCTGTGTGTCATCCGGCTCACTTCGACACGACGACTTCCACCTGGAGTCACCTCTTCTTCAGGTTGTGTGTGTGTGCGTGTGTTTTTTTTTCAAGGATACCGTTTCCCTTTTTGGTCCACGTTGAAGAAACTGGAACCTTGAATTCTAGGTCCTTTGGGCAACTGAGTGAAGGTTACCCCCGAAATTCATTTCGGTTTTCCGTTTGGTTTCCCTCAAAACCAACCCCCAAAAAACAGGTCTCAAAAAGGACAGACCCATGTACCACTATTTTGGGCAATGACCCTTTTTGAAGGGTGGAGACTTCAGTGGAACATCGGGGTGCATTTCTGGTCTGGAGAGTAATTTTGGTCTTGGTGGCTGGATCTTTCAGCTTTGACTTGTTTGGATCTGAGAAGGAATTGTCAATCTCAGGGTCGACTAAACAAACATGGGACAGAACTGGAACACGTTGTTTCTTTCTGTGTGCCGCAGATGTGCGGGCAAGTTTCCGTGCTTTCGAGTGATAAAGTACTCGTGGGAATCAAGCTAGTCGTTATCAAAGAGGAACATTTTTCCACAGCCACGAACCTTGATTCGTGCTCCATACCTGCATTCGAGCGCACGCGTTTGCGTGCAGCGCATCTACAGGAAAGGAAGTGAATGTGACGATTTGTTGTGACACACGCAGCAGGTTGGGTTTTGCTAACCCACAACGGGGATGTAACCCAAGCAATCAAGGGGCACTTCTCCTTTTCCGATTTCCTTCTCACGTTATCTCTTTTTTTTTGAGGTAAAAAGTCCAAACCTGGCGTGCTAGATGGTGCTTTTTTTGGTTCCAGCCGTGGGGTTTTGCTTCCATTTTTCCCGCAAGTACAGGCCCGCCGTGTTAGTCAACGATATGCAGACATGCAACATGC